ATGGTGAAGTTGTGTTGGTAGGTAGACTTTTGTCAATTGCATTAACATTTTTATATAGTTATGAGAAAATGTATATAATTCATTAAATTATTTATGATTAAAAAAAAAAAAAAAAACTCACCTTCAAACTCCACTTTGTGCAGTTTATGCTTAGTGCCGTCATGGTTGCTTGGTGACGGGGCATGCACTGAGTTAAGGTCAGAAATAAATGTAAAGATCAGACCGTCAGATTTCACAGTCGCTCACTTCCAGTCTTCATGGTCAATGGATAACTGAGTCTATGCTGATTGAGTAGACTCGGGCCTTCGAAGGTTCAGTCTCAGTGTCTTTCCACTTCACAATTATGCTACTTTGATTTGATCGGTCACATAAAACTACAGCACAACTCATTTAAGTTTGTTGTTTTGAATGCGAGAACAAATACTTTTCTAATGCAATTCATTTCAAGAATTTGTGAAAACATGTTGGGATACTTATGGAAGCACAGTGACAATGTAGGACTGCAGTGCTACTGTGGCTTGTTTCAAGATGTGTGTCATTGTTAGGATGAACACTCTGGGTAATAAGTTCCTTTGTGATCCCACAGCACTTCCACTCTGCACCAAGACATTAAAACCAGCCCACAGGAGAATTACGGCATATGCCCTTATGCCTCTCATGGATCAAACTTGAGGGTAGTGGACAAAATAATTGATTTGTCACAGTTGAAGCAAAACATTTTTTTTTTTTTACTACTTACTTTTCTCAGATCCACATTTCTCTCTAGGGCAGTCTCTTCATAGATTTTCAAGCCTCGGGTGCATTTGAGGGTGTACGTTAATTATCAAGTCTAATTCAAAACCCCAACAAGTTATAAGCCAAGCGATTTTGCCAAACTTATTTGACGATTTCTTTTAGGGATTTTATTCAGAGTTGTTCACACAAGTCCAAGTAAAGTCTTAAGTGCTGAAATATACTTTTTCACATTGGATGCATGCCATCTATTTTGCTTTAAACACCAAACCGTCGTAGGTTATGAATTAAAATCCTTTTCCTGAAGCATAATTTCATACATGGACAATTGGCACATTTATATTTCTTTTTACTAGTTTGAATTTAACATGCAATAAATCGATACATTTGAAAATCGGTAAGAAATATTATCACATAAAACATATTGGTAGGCATTCATGTTCAAATAAGACATTTAAAATAGGCTAAACAGGTTAATGTTTAGCCAATTTATTTTAGTTCCTTCAAAATAAAAATTTGTTTTATTTTGAAGGAACCAGAAAGATTGAAGGTCAGACTATAAGATGTTAGTGTATGTTAACTTTATTTGTACTGAAATTATACAAATTCATTAAAACATAGTTGATTTTTAGAAGACAGAGGTGATGCCATTTATACAACACACACAGCAAAGCTGTTAGTAGCCTTTTTTTTTATTATGAAATGTATGTAATCAAATCTGTCTATATGATCTGACCAAATTAACTGTATACTTCTGTAAAGAATATGGCATTTTGCAAAGTGCTTTGTGAAGGTGTGTTGTGATTCATCTCTATATGAACGTAACTGAAATCCAATAGTCCACTGCATTCCTTTTAGAATAGAATAGAAATTCACTTTATTGTCCCACATTGGGGAAATTCACCTGTAACAACTGCAAAAAGTAACTGTGAATCTACAGACCTTACTGTCCTCATGGATAAATGCAAATAACAAAATTAAGAATATTATACTGTACCATAAGGGAAGAATTGCATCATAACATACAGTGCAGTTATTAAACATTGCATACCCTGATCCAAAGGAGAGTAGCACAACTATATATATATAAAATACAAAACGTGTATTTAAAAACAGACTATTTGCAATATATGAAAAGAAAACTGCAAACATTGATGTGCAAATACCAGTAGAAGTGTTATTTGACACCAGGAAAACTGCAAAGAAGAGCAGGGATGTAAACACTTTCTGAGTTTGTTGGCAGCACTGATGGTTATAGAGTCCGACAGCTGCTGGGAGGAAGGATCTCTGATGATGCTTCTTTGTTCACTTGAGATGCAATAGAAGGCTATGATGGGAATTGGGGTAAGAGAAGAATAGAAGAGATTAATAGTCACATCTTTAAATAGTAAATATTGACTTACATGAGAGTGAGGCCAATACCTCAAGTCTTTAGAGTCCAAGTCAAACTTGAAACTCTTTGTCTGGTTTGATGCAATATAGTCCAAGATGAAACTCCATCCTAGCAGTTTAACTTCAGGATAAAGTTCTCCATAAAAAATGTTGTGCAACTTAGAAAAATAGAGGAACAAAGTTGGTTTATAAGCTAAAATTTGTTGCAAAGTCTTAATCTGTTAAAGTTGATGGCTGCCTGAAACCTCTGATCCAAATAATCAGACAGCTGCTAAGCCTCATCCCCAGTGAAGATCTGCCATGCCCAGAGTGCAGCCATTTTAACTTATTGCTTGGTTGGGGAATATGGTTTGGTGAGGGGGAAACACCTGCTTACTTAGGTTACAGTGATTGAGGACTAAGGAATTTAGTCAAACACATAATGGCTTTGTTTTTCTAATTTAAACATTTCTTTACTTGGATGGAGAGCACTGTCGAAACGTTTTGCCCCCTACACATTTCTTCTGCTTTCTTTTTTTTTTTTTTTTTGTCTAACTGAAATATTTCATATTATCAAACCCATTGCAATACCAGACAAGGATAACCTGAGTAAATACAAAAATAATTTTTTTTTCAAAAGGCTTTTAGTTTTGCACCATATGCAGAGGGAAGCACACCATTCACCCAGAAACACAGAAACATGGGCCTTTGTGTTCTATTGATCTATTTTCCCCTTGAAACTCTCCATTTGCGGAGACTTTCTTTCACTGTGGTTAAAATATGTTTATAAACATTTCCGGACTAATAGATGAGAGTGAATTTCTTTGCCTTGAATTTCTTTATATTGGGATATGATGCGTTGCTTACTTTATGTCGTCAGAACGGTTCTACTGAAGTGATTTCTGGCAGTTATCTGACCTGGTAAGGGAAGTGTAACCAAAGAAACAACATTGGCATGCACAGGTAATTCATAATTTGAGAAGAGAGAGCAATTATATGTTCAGACAGTCATTTGGTTAGCTATCTTCCTTTAAAAGATTACATAATTTAAAAGATGCCTTTTGTTTGATCTGATACATTTAAGTGTGATTTAACAGGTGAAAACTAGAGAAACCTTTAAGGGGGAAAATACTTTGTCACAGCACTGTGGTGAAGGAGGATTTCCTGAATACACCAGTATAATTATGTTTGGTATGAGCACATCACCCTGATCAGTATTAATAAATTCTTCCCGGAGTTTGTCAGACTGGCGTTAAGATGGCGAGCTGGAGTTCTCGTCTAGTCTACTGGCACCGCTAGAAGCTCAAATCACGGCATTTCAGTTACACCAGCAGAATAGTCCTGATATATCGAGACTCTTCTTATGTTGCCTATGAGGGTATAATTAATAAAAGAGCATTAATCATTTTGCAGGCTGAACATGGAGGGCTCATTCCTCCAGTTTGCCCCTTGACAAACGTCCCGCAGGCTCACTACTCATGCAACCCGCCGCCCCCCCTCTGTGTGCCTGCAATGTACTCACCCCGCCACATTCTGCCTCCTTTATTGAATGCCAATTAAGCAGATAAATTAGCATGGTTCAAAGATTAATTAAAAAACCTGCTGGTTTCCCTGGGTGATGAAAAAGTTTCAGCTGCATTTTTTTTTTCCTCCCCCTCTTCCAGTTCCACAAGAGATGTTAATGGTTTTCTTTTTAGCTCAGAGGGTATTTACTGGAGGAGATGTAGTTAAAGGAATTTAGGTCACAGTGCCCGTGGTTGGGATTCCTGCCCATGTCTCGCAGACAAATAAGGCTGAACAACTTCAATCTGATTACTTGTGGTAAGATAATAAAGCCAATGTATAATACACTGCTCTTATTTGATGATGCACCTAATTTACAAGGTGAATTAGACATTTGATCAGATGTAGAGAAATCGGTGTGAAATCAGAGCTGTGATGGTTAAAGATCTTTTCCTTTCTTCCCACTAGAGGGCAGCATGCCTCCACATCTTTGTGGAATCCCCACTGGAGGATGTTTTTCTCCTCTCTGTTCATTCTAGCCATCTCTTTGTGAGAGAGTGCTTCTGATAAACATTCTCCTCCATTCTAATCATCATGTCATTCCCTAGCTTTTAGTGCTCTGTCCGGCCTTCACTCTATCCTCTGATGTCTCTCACATGAAAGAACTCTTTGTGATGCCGAATTAAAGTAGCATGAAGATAATACTCCCAATAACACGTAGATACTGCCTATCCAGCCTATCAGCTGTGATTGCATGGCCTCAATAGAAGCCATGTTGTTTGATTTTGTTCTTCTGTTCAGAGTTGGGTTGCAGTGTGCGTTTTTTTTTTTTTTTTCTTTCCTTTTTTTATATTGCTGCTGCCTTTTTCTACTTTTATTTCAAGGACTAATTATTCCTGCCATTATACTCTGCTGCCACAGCCTGCGACTTCAACAAAGAAACATGGTAGGGAATTAATTTAAGCATGGGACAAGATCTGATATAAAGGAGTACTAGTGGAAATGGAAAAATAATTGTTTCTGCGCCTGAAAGGTTTCTACTTCCTGATGGACCCATTATACTGTAAACGATCCAGTTCACAGAGTTTAAGGTTTTCAAATGCAGAAATTTAATTTTTTTTTTTTTTCTTTTTGGTTATGTGTTTATTGGGATCAACTACAGCTGCATATAATTTCTTCATGTTTTTTTCTTTGCCGGGCTAATTAATGTTCTGCAATAAAAAAATAAAAAAAAATTCTAGCAAATGCTACAATCGACGGAACATGTTTTTTTTTTTTTTTTTTTTTTTTTCCCCTTTGGGGTTAGTTCCCTTTAAATGCAACCTTGAAAAAGTTTGGAGAGTTTAATCAGCTTCACTTCTCTGTTCTTTTTTTTTTTTTTTTTTTCTTAATAGGAGGACATGAACCTCAATGAGGATCGTAAAGCCCCTCTGCGTGGGAAGGAACTGGCCATCAAGCGTGAGATGGTGGTCCAGTACATCTCGGCCACTGCCAAATCTGTAAGTGTCACAATAAATAAGTGTTTCAAAAGTGTGTTTCATTTGTGAAAACGAGGTCAAATAACCTGATGCTCCGTTTCATACTCTGCTTTGTCATCCCTTATTGCACACTCACCACTCCACCACCTTTCCTCACGCTTCATGCTTGAGGCCCACCTCTTTGATTGCAGTTTTGATCGACTTGTCTTTGATTTTTTTTTTTTTCTTTCTTGTTTGCTCCTTGGATCTACAGGAACATCTCAATAATGTTATTGAAAACTTGATTTAATTTCCATCATGTGATTAAAAAAGTGAAACTCATAGGTTTATTTCACACCAAGTGATTTATTTTAATGGCGTATTTGTTATTTTTGCTGGTTTAAGGGTATAGCTCATAAAAGCCCAAAAATCTAGCTTGTCAGAAATTAATGTAGCTGGGTGCTCATGTGAAAAAAACTACTTGTGATGCTGAATTAAGATTAAAATAATACTCAAAATAACACCTTGATGCACCAGATACTGGTGTCCAAACAGGCTTGCTACAACTGGAAAATTGAGTGGAAGGAAAAGGTGGAACAAGGTTAACTGCGGCTTACAGCAGACTGTTTAGCAAAGCGCTATTAAAGCAAACTGGGGTTTTTTTTTTGTTTTTTTTTTAATAGCTAAGCAAAACTAACCATGCAGCATTTATGGAGTAATTCATGCAAAGAGAACTGATTGCATAAACCATACAGTACATGAATATACTTTTTAGGCTGACATGTCTGTATTAGATATCCATTCAGTAGGTATCATGTAACCTAATTGTCTGAGTTTTTTAAATATATATATAAATTCCTGTAATAAACACATTTTCTGATACTATTCATATTAATTGAGATGCACCTGTAACTTGGAGCTGCTTACCTAGTTGGTGATTGGTGGATGATTCATGTTTGTCCAGTCTTACTTTTCTTTTGTCCATTGGTGGTGGTGGTGGTGTCTAACCTTTGACCAGCTACGTTATTACTTAAAGTATAAATAAACTCAGAGTTGTAAGATATTGTTCACAATAAATTGTAAAAAGTTCAGATATTAAGTATTGAACTTTATAAGTGTTTTTAACTTAAAAAAAAAAAAAAACCCTGCTTGTTTAAAAAAAAATGTTTAGTGCATTTCAGAGAGTCTTATGAAAGGATTTATTTCTCTTAAAGACTCGAGGGTAACAGTTGAAGAATAATATAAAATTGCAATCTGTCGCCCACTGAAAACATTTGTTGCTTTTGGAGACAACAAGGCAGACCTGATTAGGATTTCTGCTGCTCAAAACACCACATGGTTGGATCTGGCAAGAGCAGAAAATGGAAGTCTGTGTCCTTTGGATTTCTAAAACACCTAAATGTCGTCTTTAAAATAACGTGACGCAACTCGTGTTTGCTGGCACCGAAACGATAGCATAAACCCCTTTCACGCACACACTGCATTCCAGTAGTCTGACAGGAAGTAAACATGTGGGTGTCATGCTTTTCTAAAGTGCTTTGTGACGGAAAGCTGACTGGGGTCAGGTCTTTGTTCAAACACAGACCACTTTGAAGACGCCTTAAGCTTGCATGGGCCCATTCTTTGACCGTCTTGTTAGCAGTGCAGACAAAATTAACAGATTGCGTCACTCTCGATTTTATTTGCTCCCATTCTTTTCATTTTAAGTAGTGCTTGTTAGAGCAAACGTATAGACTTGAAGTCTAACAAAACTTTGACCATGGAGTGATGGAGATGAAGTAAACAATCACAATTTCTCAAGTTAACACCAACAGATATGGTATAGGAATGCAGCTAAAACTTTTTTTTTTTTTTTTTTTTTGCCATTTACTCACCGTTTCTGCCACTGTACACATACCATGCTTGGATAAATTGTCTTAAGTATCTGGCTTCAATATTTACCACCAGTTTCTTAATATTTTAGATGAGTAACAGTATGATTTGCAATTTTTATATCTTTTTTTATCTGGTAGTAATCCTAGAGATTTTGGAGAACCTTACTGAGGTGATATTCATAGCACTTCTGAAGAGAAGAAGTGCTTTCTTTCTTCATTGTTTCCTGAACCTGGTAGCTCTGCCTTGACATCGTCATTTATTACCTTGCTCATTGTTATGGTAATTAACTGGCATTATTGATAATGATGATTATCCGAGATGATTGAATTCCTCACAGGGCCCATTATGCTTTGTGAGCAGAGATATTTTATTCAAATGAATAACATAATCTGTGTAGTGAAAGGACAGAGGACAAAATGTGATGTCTGTCTGCACCCTGCTATCACATTTAATAGGGCTGATGGAGGAGAAGGGGAGGGGGACTCGGTGTCAGGGATGAAATAGCTGTTCATGCAGGCTCATGCAAATGTGCAGTTACAGTACAGGACTACTGTAGATCCCCAACAATGTGTAATATCTGCTAACGCCACCGGAGGTTGCATCAATTTGATTGTTTAGGTGGGCTTTTCAAATAGTTTTTTGAAATATTTTATCATACCATCCAGCAGTAGACTGAGGATTTCTATTGAACAATTTGCAACAGTTGTAACGGTTTGCAGCAGTTACTATGAAAATGTAACAATTGTGACAGCTTGTAGCATATTGCTAGACTTGTTTGTGAAAAATGTTTAGGCTGTGTTAAATTGTAAGCAAATCTCCATCTTTTATCTAAGAAACCATAATCGCACGGCTTAGAGAGTTCTGATCAGCATTGTTGAATTAATGACCCATTGGAAAGTTTGAAACTTGGAACAGTTGAAAGAAGGAATTGCATTTCAGCAGTTTAGTTATGTGTAGCTGGTAATGGGCTAAATATAAAATGTTGCACAGAGTCTAGATAGGTGGTTTGGCTTTTTAACATTCTGGGCTTTTTTCTATCTTGCTGTGGGGTTTTCAGTTTGGCTGTGGTGTCTCCAGTGTCTGTCATTTCTGAAAGGCTTACTGTGTCTTTTATTTTTTAACGTCTTTACTGTTTTATTGCATTTATTATAATTCAACACACTTAAGGGTTTGGTTAGTGGTACCATTTTTGAAATATTTTCCTCTGTTTCTTTAAGCAGACAGCATCCTCAGGTCATTTAAAGCACACGATTTAAATGATTAAATACTGGTGGAGCACCACAGATGTTGGTCTCTCCAACATGCTTTCTGACCAAAACCCAACAGCTTTCACATGCACCAATCAGCCAAAGCAATATGATCACTCCAAGGTGACATTTCATTGAGGTGTGGTAGTTGGCCTGTATATTATGGAGAAAAAAAGGCAAATGTAATTTAAGCAAATTTGAAATTGTGATGGCAGGGTTACAAGAATCTCCAGATAATATGCAGCTTCTGTAGAGTGTGGCAGCTTCCTAGTTCTCTGGTCCTTCGAAGAGTGGTCTCACGAAAGGAAACTGGTGAAGGTCCACTGATGACTTAAATAAAGGCCAGTCTTAAAACTCGCCTGGTAGCAGCTAAAGTGGCTGATGTAATTAAAAGTTGTACAGATGAAACGAGCCAAACAAACATTTATTTTAAAGACCAAAATCAGTTTTTTTGTATCAAGTTTTCATGTACTTCTTACCTGAGGAACACCAAAACGCACAATGAGCAGAGAGCCATCCAGCAGTGGCAATGAAAGGCTTTGATTGATGCTTTGTTGGAAAACCTTGGTTGTTGCTGTTGATTTAGATGTTGCAGTAAACTATTTACCTGATCTGAAACTGTGCTTTGTGAGAACAGGATAATGAGCCCTTCTGCTGCTGGAATTGCTCAGAAACTATTTCAGCAACAAAATGGCAAAGTGGAGGTTTTGATTTGGTCTCCAAATTATCTGAATCCCAAACTAGTGAAACATCTGTAAGACGCCAGTTTACAGGATTTGCAAAATCAATACTTAGTTGTTGGTGCCAGATTTATGCTGCTCAACACCTCCTCGGTTTATTGTTGCCTTTGTAGCAAAAGGAAACTTAATATGCAAAAGATTTTCATAATGTCCTAGGTGACTATCCATCACTGATGCATACTGACACATCACATTTGCTTTTAAACTTTGCTTGCCTGAAATAATGAGTACAATTCTTACTCTTGCAAAATATGTATTTTGAAGAAAATTTAAAGCCATTCTCTCTCTCAAGCCATGCAACATTGAATACAGACTCATATTCTACAAGGTTTACCCCAGCAGGGGTCTGGCAAATTACTCCCAATACAAATGGAGTATTGAGAAAAAAAAAAAAAAAAAAAAAAAAAAAAAACTTTTGCAAAGACCTGGCTCATTTAAATATGAACTGATTACCATGGAATCCAACTCTGCTTCTGCATGAGTCATGTTTAAATGTCTTTAACTATTAGCTTTGCATGAGCTGCTGCTTTTCTTTTTCGCCGCCTTTCTTTTTTTTTTACAGCCCTTCTCTTTACATTTGTGCAAATTTAATCAAAAATGCTAATTTCACAAATTTTACTAATGCTACTAATACATACTTTGAGTCTTGTGTTAAATTATGAACATGCTTTGTTTAATGTTGGAAGGATGTGATGTAAGGTCTTGTAAATGGGGATTGCTCATTATTGCATTCTTTTCTTACTACTTTTTTTTTATTTTTTTTTTTTATGTGACCATCAATTTTCAGCTTTCCTCTCCGAGTGGCCCGTACAGTTTTCAGAGAAAGTCCAGACCACTAATGATTATTAATTTACAGTACTCGTACAATTTGTGGTACATAGTGATGTCTTGAGAGGAAAACGTGCAAGTCATTAAGTACATCATCTATTGTGGATATTAGAAGCCTACATTTCCTTGTTTAAGATGGCAGGTTTTTGTGTTCCAGAACTTTTTCCACCTTGAAAGTGGCCTATAAAATTGAAAACACTGAAATCTTTTTTTGGGGGGAAATGGCAATAAAAAGAAATAATGGTGAAATGCACATCTTGACCAAAAACACACACACACACACACACACACAAAAATCACCACTTGGATTTAACTAGACCATTAGCTTGTAGTGGCTTCCTATTGGCAGCAAATTATTACCCAATGGCATCTTCTGATTTCTTAAACAACCATGTGGAAAGACACATCCTGTGATTGTGGAACATATCTCAGTCTGTTTAAGAAGGATCAAATCATTGGCATCAAGTAGAGAAAACGTCTAAAGAGATGTAGAAACTACTAAAATTAGGTTGAAAACTTTGGACGAAATTGGGGTCAAAACAACAGTTCAAGTCGGCACAAATCCTTCAGGCTTTGTGCTGGAAATGTAAAGAAATACTCTTCAAAAGAATAGCTTCACCAGAAGAAGATTGGTTCTCAGCCCAGACCTGAATCTGTTTTGCGATCTGAAGAGAGATGCACACAGAATATCGGCCAAATTTAGGGCATTGTGGTAAATAAAAAGGAGCAAATATGTGGGCAAAATGTGCCAATAATGATCAAATCATACCTCAGAGGTTAATTGTAAAAATGTGCTTAAACACAATTTATATGTGTGTGTGTGTGTTGAGAATTATGCAACAGTATTGTTCAAATATTTTTCTAACTCAAAGAAATAGTTTTTGGAAAGGAGCTGTTCAAGAGCTAGCTCAGACGAAAGGTGGAAAAACTTCTTTAATGATTTTGGCGTTCTGTTATTTGTGATATTTCAAAAAACCTGTCACTATAACAAGCTGTGCAGACCTTGTAACATCCACTGTACCCAATGACTTGTCTTTTTTTTTTTTTTTTTTCCCAAAACACACATTAATTTGAACCGGTGCCTCTCACCTTCAAGCTCCTTCCAGTGTTGTGTTCTGGCGCACTAAAGATGATGTCTGTTTGGTAGAGCTGCTGTAAATGTGTTTTAAAGTTAAATAGATGTACGTTCTGCAGCAATTGTTGTATTCTGGACCATTTTAAAGGCATGCAATAGTTGCTAAAAACATAGAGAAATTGTTGCATTAAACTGCTTCTATGGCTGTTCTGAACATTTAGTAGGGTGAAGGAAAGGGTAACTATTGCAATAAATGGATGCAGACCTGGACAGTTTGAGAATGACGGTAAAAGAAAATGAAAGTTAGATTTTTTTTTTTCTTTGCCTCCTATAAAAACCGTAGAAAGGAAGGGGGGAAATGGCTCAGTGTGTCCTATAACTTCTTGCAATCAGAATGCAATTCCCTAGAAGCATGTTGTAGAGCGAGAGGAGCTCAGCCTCAGATTAGAATACATTTACTCTGCTAACAGACACCTTCCCACTGTGAAACAAGTCCCACAGTTGCAGTAATGAAAATCGCTTCTGCTACCTGCCACTATTGACAGATAACAAGGTTAAACCCTGGGAATTGTGCTGACTGCATGGGTTCAAGGTAGTTCTGCCACACAAATGTGACATCTGAAGACCACTGTTAATGGCAGAAGATTGATTTTTACACCAAAGGGACCTTCTTCACATTCTGTACCCGCAGTAGCAAGTGTTCATGTTTGGGTAAGAATCCAAAATCTGCATCGACCAATCAAAGACATTTACCCTCTCACTTGTCTTACTGTCCACATTGTCAAATTATTGCAGAAGTGCAGGAAATTTTGCCTTGATATTTACATCTCATAATTTATATCTCAGTCGGCCCATAATTTAACAATAGATGACCTGCAGCTGCCAACAACAGACATAATCTTCAGTATGCAGTAATAGCTGTGAGAGTTATCTTGTTTGCTTTTGTAAATATTTTGTGAAACCGAGTGAGCTATAAATGTATGAAGGATTTTTGTGTTGTCACAACAGATACGCTAATGCCTCAACTTGTAATGGATAATTCTCTGGCCTACTAACGATTGTGCCGTTTGTGTCTTTTTGCACATTAACCTTCTCCGCCGATTGCTGCATGCAGATAACTGGGAGCAAAGTTGCGGTAAGTAGCCTATTATTTATTTGGCTTCCAAATCTTGTTATTTCTTTGTATCTGTCTTCATTCCTATGAACCCATGCATACACACACACACACACACACACAACCACCACAGCATCTTCAGTCGTGAAGCTGGTTGGGAGCATATTCTGAACTGTGCATATAAGGTCATTGCTTAGCTTTGTGTTTAAAGATGCATGTTGATGTGTTAATTGAAAAAAAAATACTGTCTTGACTTGGTTTCTGCAGCGTTTTTCATAGAATGCTCTGAAAAAGCTCTTTACCTGTGAATAATACAACGTCAGTGATTTTTACAAATGCACAAATCTGCTGGATCTTTCACCCACTGCTTGGAGAAATAATTCAGATGGTTCAGGTTAATATAAACCTCAGTGTTTACTGATAATTTATTTTAATGCAGCACAACAGACTTGTTGGAAGTTGAACTAAAATGCACTTGCGGACCAAACCACAGTGAGCGTACCGTTTTCTTTTTTGTCCCACCCAACGTCACTAGATTTATTTATTGGAGACATTTATTTCTGAATTTGTTTTCACTGCAGCTGGTTTGACGGAGATAAGGAGGGAGCTCAATAACCAAATCTTGGTTATGGTGAAATATGTGTATCATTTGAATTAGTATCATTTCTGTTTGTCAGCGTACTGGCAAAAACAGAAGCGTAAACCATAATCAATTATTGCCTTTTCATCTGCAAAGAGTTGTCCTGCTGGATTCTGTAAGCAAAATGAGCGTCGTCTAAATAAAGACCTGCGTCTAGCTCGAAACATTGCGCTCGTCTTTCAATGTCAATGTCAAATTTATTTATATAGCACTTTAAAAACAGGGTTAAAACTGCACCAAAGTGCTGTACAAAACCGATAATAAAATAAGTTGATGAAAAGAAAAAGAGAAATATTACAAGAAAAACGAACAAACAAAAAAAGTCTTTCTGAGGTTCCAAGGTGGGTCTGTGTTTATATAAAACCATTTGCCGCTGCAGGTAACGTTTGCAAGAGGAAAAAAAAAACAACAAATCATGAAGGTTGAGCACTTCATTTCCTTTTATTTGAAATAATCCACAATTACTCATCATGGAGTTTAATGGTAAATGTTTATGACCTGAGAATTCAACACAGCTGATTTTATTGCATAACATGGTTACGCGTATTGAAGTATGTTTAACTCTCAGCCAACTTACTTATTTACTGATTTGTGCTTCAAACGTGAACTGCAAACTTGTTTGCGGAAAATGATTGCACAACTCCAGTGCTGCTCAAATAACATGCTTATTGACTGGTAGATTGTTCCTGACTGATGTAGTCTGGGTCAGGTGTTAGTTGCCACTTAAATGGGGTTCACTGAAGTGGAAAAAAAGACTTTAACACCCTGACGGACAGCGATTGGCATCATTGGCTAAATACTTGTGCACCATGCTAAGCTGTTTATTTTTGCACAGGGATTTACAGTCTCCCTTTTAGCATCCTTAAGCCATCTCAGATGTTTAAGCTTTCAGAAACTTTTCTTCTGGCTGTGAACTCTTTGCTTCATCAACCCATTTGTGAATCTAAAGCAAAGAACCTTCAAGCATCAAAACCAAGAGTAGAGGACTTCACTGCAACCACAAGCGGCGATGTCCACAAGCAGAATTCCCTGTAGGGAACAGTTTTCCATGATTTTTTTTCAACTTCCTAGAAGAGTTACTTTTGTTCATCATTCTAAGCAAAAGTGGAATTTATGTTTAAAATAAAATTAATTTAGCAAGTTATTTTAACATTATCATTTAATTTTGTTGACCAGGGAGCTTAGTTGAGTTATGGACATTAAGTAGCTGTTTAATCGTATGGTTCTAATTGTCTGCAAAAGTCTTTTAAAAATTATTTCAGTGAAAAATGGAGAAAAAAAAAAAAAAAAAAACTTCTCACACAGTAACGTCTTTTGAAATGTGAAATTGTGACTTTCAGTAGCATCGATTAAATTGCTCTTTCATTGCCTTTTCAAGGACTTTATAAGGATTAAGACTGTAAGACCTAAGAGAAGCACAGGCAAGGTTAAGCAGTGCACTGTGACCTGGCCCCATCTCCCTCCATGCTCTCATACATACCTTGCTCTTTGAGGCATTTTTAAGCCTTTTAGAAACTGTCTTTTTGTGCTTGGTTATTTCTATGGCAGCAATGGATTTATCAGCGTGGTCTGTTTGGATGGCCCACATAGTAGGTTTCAATCAGCAATAATGGCTACCCTGTGTTCAGTAAATAGAAAAGGACAAAATTCCCTCATTTTGGATCATGACCGCTCATCTAAGATATGAAGACCTTCTTTCAGAACCTCTGCAGACCGTTTGAAAGGATGCGACAAGTCCTGGTTATCAATAACTTTCTTTCATTTCAAAAGCTCCCAAGAAGTGTTTGACCTGGGATTTTTAACCTTTGTGAGAATCCAAATAGACTCTGTGTACTGAAAGCCATGAGCTCTCATTCGTGAAGGCCCCATTGAAAGAGAGGATAGAAGAACCAGTATTTAGCCTGGTTAGCCAATCGTGGTCTAGTCGAGGACCCCTCTCCCCCCCATATTCCTGGCAGATTCCCATTTTCACGCTGTCAGCATGCGGCGATGAGGGCTCTCAGATGTGCTAGAAGGAAAGTGTTGGTTCTGATGGTCCATTGGGAAAACACAAGTGTAACTCCTCTGTCTCAGGCATGAAATCTCTCTGGCACTTTCTCCTCCGCTAGTAAGGAATGAGCCAGGAATAGAACGCTGTGAATTGACTTTCATCACTCTGACCATTGTGGAAGTGTGCGACTCAGCTCCACAGCACTAGTCTCGCTTTCTCTTTCAAGCTCCATCCAAAAAGTAGGAAAGATGTAAGCAACACATTCAGGTAATTACAGCCTTCCAGATAGACTGGAATGAATGCATTACACTGGATACCTGCTCCCGTCTGCTGACCTCTACAGCGGTTTCACATTAGTCCGTAACCACTGGCCTAGTCCAGGTCTACCCGTCAGCATCTGCTGCTGCGTTGCTTTAGAAAGTAGACTTCTATCTTGTCTCGTCCAATGACAGACTCTGCAGCTCAGGGGGCTGCTGAGACTTGGCGTGAGAGGGCGTGTGATGCATTTGTTGAAGAAACTGCAGCGGAAAATCTCCAGGCCACAGGAAATGATCAATACCTGTACGACTGGACAGATGACTGCTTGGATGCCGGCCGGCTCTGAAATGTCAGGTTGTGCGATGGTAAATAGGGTTGTGTAAACAACTGCTCTCTGTATGTTGTTGTCAGTGTGCAGATTTGACCAAAGAGTCTAAAAAGCCTTATACCAGAGAGAAAAGGTCAGTACTGGCTGCACTGTAACAGATCTAATTTACTGGCATGTTCTTGTTTTCTGAGTAAAACTGGGTGTGATTTTAGGGCTAAAGGTGTATACTCAAAATCTTTTTGCCAGTTGTAAAGTAGAAGTACGTTACTCTGACATATCAACAGTTTAAAACCTATTTCTAATAATATCATACATCTTCTTTCCATTCACGCCACAGTTTTGTAATAGAATCACTGTGACCCAGGGTTTCTGTTCTAATCCAGTACTAGAAAGTAGCATCTCATGTTGATTCAGAGACAAACTTAAGAACCAACCACGCACATTAAACACCTCAGGGCAGTTTAGAGACCAATAGACACGAAATGCATGTTTTCTTGGCTGTTGGAGGGAAGGATGGAGTACCAGAGAAAAAAAAAAAAAAAGTTTTGTTTTGTGAGAAATTTAAAAACTTTGCTTGTTGGTTCTGATTATGGAGACGCCAGGTGGATGATTCCTTTCCGGGCTTTTATCTTGAAGATCGGATCATGTTCAAACAATGACCAGTTCCAGGCTGGGAAAGGGAAAGTTCTAACACTCTGGTCTTGGTTACATAGCTTAGAATGATGCAATACGTTTAGTGTTATTTCCTGTCTTAACTAGATACATCTGTTGACGTAATTGGTGGGTGTTCTCAATATTTACTCCACTGACACACTTCATTATCAATATACCTTGTCTGGACACTGATCTGAACAATATCCACTGAGGTCGCCATCTTGTCTCTATGCCTGCTGGTGTGTTCAGGGCACTGAAGGGTCACCACAGCTAGCAACAAAATAACACCTTAAAAGATCATAAATGAACAAAACTTTCTGCCATATCCAGATATTTATGAGTGATGCCGGCGATGTGTGAGACGGTGAATGTTGGAGAGAAGAAGCACAAAACGGCTCAATAACATAAGTTCATTATTTTACACAATGACAGAATGTTGACACTTTAAGGTTTCAACCACTTACATTAGCATTGAATAATAGAATGTATCTGAACAAGCCAATACGAGACTGCAGAGTTTTGTTTGTGCCACCATACAGTCATATTTTATAACTGATTCAAACTGGGATCAGAACCACGACCAATGAAAATAAACATTCATACAGTTAGATTAATTACAGCAGCTGAGCATTTTTATATTTACTGCCATAATTTACTAGGGGAAATAACACTTTATTCATTGATGAAGTGCATAGTTTATTTACAGATCAAATCAAATTTGTGTATAAAGCACACTAAAAATAATGAGCTTGACCAAAGTTCTGCACAGCAAGCAGGGTGTAGAAATGTGTGTGTGTGTTTTTTCTAACAAGATTTAAAAATGGTTATTGATGGAGCCTGGCTGATTTGTAGAGGCAAACCGTTCCACAGTGTTGGAACCGCCACTGCAAAAACCTCCCTCACCTCTGGATTTACAGAAAACCTTAGGTACCTTTAACAGCATCTGATCTGCTGACCTGATAAATACGAGCTGTAACACAAGGATGCAGTGGTTCAGTGAGATGAGCTGTTGCCAAGTTATTAAGAGACTTAAAAACAAATAAATCATGACAAATTACAAGCGTCCTAAAACCTGCTTTTATTAAATGTGTTCTCTGCCATCTTCCACTTGACAATATTTACCTCAACTTTGCATTAAAATAACACAAAAAACATAATCTTTTAATAAAAGCAGAACAAACCTCTGAGACATCAGGAAACTCAGTATATTTTGGTTTTATTGAATTGATCATTTTAAGGATCTTTAACTTTAGCATTTTTATTTTGAGAATGTCCAAGATTAATAACATCCACTTTTTATATCTTTCAAACAAGTTCAAGTATATATTGAATTGCATTTAATTGTACCACAAATGTTTTTTTTTTGACGGAGTGCAATGTAATAAGAAATCTGGCATTTCTTTGTGATATAAGACACCTAATTTGTTAATTTCTTTTAATTTCAAAGTGCTGTTTAACTTTCTCACTTAAACCAATTCATCTTCATCTTAATTAGGGTCAGTAATTATGAAGTTATTGTCTTTAGAAGTGATTTTTTTTTCTGTAATTCCCAGATGAACAATTTGCAAAACTGACTTTAATTCAACACATTTTAAAAATATAAATATTCCCCTGTTGAATAACCTTTGTGTTTTCATTAGTTTAACTCGTTGGAGAATGGAGGTTTGCAAAACCCCCAACTGGAGCAAAAGCTGAAAACTCCGATCACTTTAACGTCACTAAGTATTAGATATGAATAATATAAGTGAAAATGTTCAGAAATTCCAGGTTTCCCTCCAATATTTTATTCTTTCTGCAGCGTTTTTGTTTCAAGCGAGCTATTAAACTGGGGGCTTTAGGTTGAGGAGATTTGATGTGGCACATGTCCTTGATGCTTTAAAAGGACGGCAATGAAAAATTAATAAATAGTGTGTGCCTCTCATGCCCTAAGCCAGTGTTCGCCATTCACCATTCTATTATAAATTAAGATCAAGGAAGCAGGATCTGCACAGGACTGAATTAGATTGTTCTTTGATTGGCTGAAAGCTTATTTTAGAGTTCCTCTTTGTGACTTAAAAATTTGTCTTGGAGTTCTCAGATGGAGGATTTATTTGACAATCCTCTGGTAAATGGGGACGCAGGGTCAGGATTTTTTCCATTTTAATGCGTATGAATATTTACTGCTTCTCTAATTCTTTAATAGTTTTAGGATTTTTTACTTCCAGTCTGCTTTACTGAAAGGTTTTTTTTCTTTTCTTTGATGTCTATATTCAAATGCAGAAGGCGATGCAGCAGAAGTCCCCTCTGCCTTAAAAGATGAGTCCAGATCTCTGCAGCACTGCCTCAATTTTTTAAAAAATGTTCCAAGACTTGCTTTGCGAATTACCACATATTTCTATAATACAGCAAGCCTGCAGTTAAATTAAACATTTCAAAATTATAAAAGCATATAACTATCAGATACCTCCTGCACACTGTTTGCATGTTGCATCAGCTTTAAAATGTGTTCCAAACTGATTCTCTAAGGTTGTAAAAATGTTGTTTTTTTCCACCTAGGAGTATAAAAGCTTTATTTAAATCAAATCTATTCAATAAAGTTTTTTTTTCCTATTTCAGATATTTTTCAGGTTTTAATTGAATACAACTTCTGTATGCTTTTTGTCAAGGTCACCGTGACTTTTTCCTGTGAATTCAGCATCTCAGGAGAGAATCTGCATTAAATCTGAAACGAACGTTATGGACGCGCCGATCACAATGTGATTTTTAAAGATCGAGGGTAAAGTTCAGCAGAGCACTACAAAGACATATGTTGGCTTCTAATTGAATTGCTGTTTGATAACAAGCAACACATCATAAAGCAAGGACAGTCAGTCATGACGCCGTTCTCTTCTGGCAAACTAAATGTTAAATATTCAAGACGGATGTAAGCAGTCGTTTGCTTTTCAACATGAATACTTTTGAATTACAGATTACATTCTTTTAGTAGAGTTGAATTTTTTTGTATAGTACTTCGACAAATGGATTACAGGTATGGCTCAGGTTACACATTTTTAGTAAAAGTAATCAAAAGTAATTACATGAATGTAAAATTTTTTTTTTTTTTGATCTGCAAGCAGCTTATAGTCAGTACTCTGTAATTTAGGATATTTTCTACGACAAATACTTTGTCTTCATCGTCATCCATGTAGCAAAGTCTAACAAAAAAAAAAAAAAAAAAAAAAAAAAGGAATGAGAAATACAGTCATAGTGCCTGGCTGGAGCATTGCAGGTAACTTCTTTTTTTTGCCTGAGTAATGGAAGGTCAGGACAAATCAAAACAGAACTGTAAAATAGAGCTGTAATTGCAGTGGTTTCCCTCCAACAAAGCAAATAGTTGGCATGCGAGTAGTAGACTGTATTAGTTTTCGTAAAATCAGATTAAATTTACAGAAAACTCCTGAAAGTGAGTTATTGAAAAGCTCTTCTTTCAAAAGCATCTTCACTCATCTCAAAATGTAATCCAAACTGCATGGTTGTCATCTAATTTTTTATTATTTTTTTTTATCTCGGTAGGAAGTCTCAGCTGTGTATGTGCTCCTCTGTAAGAAATAACATTAAAACAAAACAAACAAACAAAACAAAAAAAACAAACACTGTAGGCAACGCTCCAATTACTATTAACTAGCAGGTTGGCCTGTGTTGTGTGATGTTGAACTCAACGTTTTTCATGATGACTTCTAAATTTATTTTTGCCTGTCATTTTGTGAATGGCTCGACTTCAGGCATTCATGGTTGGGTTTGACCTTTACATGCTGTGGAAGAGCTGGAGTTCAGCTGCGACGGCGGGTGGGCTGTGTGGGAGGGATTAGGTCAACTTCAGCTCCTGTTTGGGGTCCTGGGAAACGAGGTTATTCTGCCATGAGCAGTTATTCTTTGAGTTTTAGTTCATCAGTATTTCAAGCTGACTGGGTCTACATTTCTAAATCTTTCAGAAAATAGTTGAAAAGTAAAATGTTTTTTTCACTCATTTGTGGAAGTGAGATAGTTCAAGCTTTTCTTTTTTTCTTTGAATTTTTGGTTTTCATTATCTGTAAGCTGTAATCGTCAAAATTCTGTACCTCAAAAAAAAGTGGAATATATTACAAAGCACAAGGTTAGAATTTAATTTGTTAAAATCAGATTTTCAGTCAATCAGATTTTATTTGTATAGCACATTTCAGCAGCAAGGCATTTCAAAGTGCTTTACATCATTTTACACAAAACCACAGTCATGCAACATTGAATCAACAATCAAAAAACATGAAATTTTCTGCCGAGTCGAAGTTCTGCCCTTTATGGGTACCTCATCCAAAAAAAAAAAAAAATAAAATAAAAAAAAGGGGGGATGGGGGGACTCCAACCTGCACCCCTTCAAACAAATTAATAAACAAAAAACAAGAATACATACATGTAAACAAAATAAACAATGTTCTTCAATATGTCCTTATAACAAAATCTAACAATATATACTATAACAATATTTTAATGCATACATTAATATATAATTGCCACATTATGGTCTGAACAATCATGGGGAAGACTGCTGACTTGACAGATGTCCAGAAAAGAGTCATGGACATCTGACACAAAGTGGATACGCCCCAAAAGAGACTTTGCTAAACAAACTGGCTGTTCACACTCACGCTTTCTCTTATTACATGTGCAAATCGGTAAATATGTCTGTAGTAAAAAAAAAAAAAAAAAAACTTTTAGTGGCCAATATGACTGGAACAAATCTATATAATGGGTTTTAGATTCTGAAATGACTGACAAAAAAAATAAACTTTTTTTTTTTTACTATGTTTACATCTTTATTATAATATGCACCTTTGTTTGATTTGTAAAAAAAAAAAAAAAAAACTAATCAAAAAATGTCAACATTATCAGACCCTTCTTGTATAATTTAAGCAGCAGTTGCAGGTGTAGTTGTTGCCTTTCTGTTTCAAGTAAAAGCGACTCGACATTTTTGTGTTTCCACAGCGAAAAAGTTACTTTACCTGAGATTATCATACCCTGTGAATCTCATACTGGCCCATATCTCCTTGTTTCTGTATTTCTATTTCCTTTGACGCAACTTTTTAAAAAACATCGTCTTTTCAAAGCCAGAAACAATCATTCCCCTTCAATCAGAGGAGCAGAGCTGGATCTCGTTATTTTGAAGGGAACATGAAAGGCTGAAGTGGTCACAGTATGCCGATATTGGATTGAGCAGAGGCTATGGCGGAGCTTTATAGATGCCGTGCTTGTGTTGGTGTGTGCACACACTGCTGTGTGTAGCCATACTTGTGATGAGTACCAACTTTCTCTATGCTGTTCTGGCAGACTTGGATGCTGCAGCACGGGTTTAGACTCGGCACGGAGAAATACACACCGACTATTTCCAGAGAGGGGCAGGAGGGAAGAAGAAGAAGAAGAAGAAGAAGAAGAAAAAGGATTCCTAGTTCTGTTGATTGCGTATCTTTGAATTTTTCTCTACTGTATGCACATCCCCACACGACTGATGGACCTTGTGGAAACTAGCTTTGCTCAGTTGTACATCTCTCCCCCACAGCTCTGTCACACACTCAGCAGCTCCGTTGGCATGCTCGGCTCAGTGGGGGGCTCCTGTGGGGCCGCATTAGGCTCCATAAACTTTATAGCATATTTTTACAACCCTACTCTCAGTATGCATCTACCATCACAAGCCACCGCATCTGCTTTAACTGTTCACACAGCTGTGAAATTCTGTGTATCCCCATGTTTTATGGTTGCTTGCTCCTCTAGTCATTCCCGATTTCTTTATTTGCTTCTTTAGCTTTTAGATATCCTCTACATCTGTGTATATTTAGTAAGCTATTTGCTTTGTTTGATGGCGCGTCTTTTCTTTTTTTCTTTTTTTTCTTTTTTTTTTGAACTAGATGTCATCTTCATCTCAATGCCGGCTCTGTGTACGTTGAGATTTGCTTGGAGGATGTTTTGCATTTGGGGAGTTGATAAAATACTTCAGTTCATAAACCTCTTTTTCATGCATGTCTATTTATACCACGTGCAAAGTTTGCTCTGACTTCTACCAGGAACTTTCATAGCACCTTGCAGCTCAGGTTAGTAGTCCACTCTCTGCAGCAGTGTGCTAACAAGGTGTTCTCTCTGCCCATCAGCTTGAGCTCCCTAACAGAGCGGTTGTACTTGGACGCACAAGAATAAAGCCACATAATCGCCTCATCAGCGGCCAGTTTCCTCCCTTATTCCTCAGACAGATCTCTCCTCTGAAGATCGGTGACATGATCAAGCAACCTTACTAGCTGTGTTTTTGTCTGGCTTGTGGTTTCTTTATCGTCTCCCGCTTAAGAGAATGACTATAGTGTTAAATTGGCAACTTTTAAGCCGTTAACCGGCACCATGTGGTTGGTTGGACGGGCTTCTGTCTCTTGCGAGTAAATGAGCGCAGGAAAAAAATAAATAAATGACGAATTAGTCATCTTGTGTTAGATATAAAGATGGATGATTCTGAGACTTGCTTTGAGGTTTGTTGGTGAAATGGTTCAGCTGCGGCACACGATAAGGGGCGAGTCAGAAATACTCGCTCTTGATCCTTGCTGGATGCTCTCTGCATGCCACACACTGCCGGGGTCCCGAAGTGGCTTTAGCTTTTTTTTTTTTTTTTTTTTTTCAAAATTGGACATTTCATTCTTTATCTTCACTTGCTCTCTGCCAAGGTTTAAAAGTGATAACAGAGAGACGGCACTTCAAACAGTTTGGGTGTAGTTAGGTCTTTAAATAAAGGTGATTATCCATAATCATGGTCTGACTCAGGGTGTGGGGCTGCTGCAGGTGTCTGACCAGAGCTGTAGTACCAAAGTTAAGCACTTGGTGGCAGTGGATGGCTACTAAATTGTCAGATTCTCTGGATGCACAGAGCTGTATTGTTGGTATGCAGTTGTCTTACTGGGTTCCTTTGAGCCACCTAGGTGTGCCATTAATACCGTTTCCTAGACATCTGAGGTTTAAAGGGTGGAAGAATTGTAAAATGCTTCAGTTGCAATTAGTCTGCCTTTTTTATCATTAGTTTGCTACTGTAAACAAGAAGTAATGAGTCTGGATGTTTAGTTTCTTTGTTTCTTTTTGTTGTTTTTTTTTTACATATCCAATATGAACGTTGTCTCTAGCATGGAAGATATCTTTCCTTTCCTTGATACCACTGTCTGTGCTGATTAGACTGATGCATATGTTGTTCTTCAATTTAACATATTTGATGCATTTCACTGATTTTCTGTATCTATTTTTACAAGGCCATGTCATTTCATCCTTTTCTTTCTTCTCTGTTGTCTTTATACAAAACCTTTAATGCATAACACCCACAGACCGACGCCAGGTTGGCATCTTACTGCGCTCTGTAATATGTTTTCCTTCAGAAAGATGAACTTCAAGCCCCATTGCTCATCTGAGCCCACTTATTTATACACGTGAGTCATATTTGTTTATAGACACCCCGAGCTCTTTACATGATGCCGGTTCGTGGGTTTAACAGCGATGGAGACGGTCTCGGTTATCTGCAACTTTCACCGAGACTGGCTGAAGGAGCGGCGATGCTGCGGCTCGCACGTTCTGTGTTTCACCTCTTTCCGCCTCGTCATTTTTGTCTCTGAGGTGCTGAATCAATTTTTAACACGCAGCCATATGGTATTGTTGCTTTTGCAGATGAATATGAGGTAAAATAAAGCATATAATAGCAGAGCAGCAATGTTCACCCCCTGCTGTTATTTCCACATATGTTGTAAAGACGTCTGCCTCCATCGACCGGTGGTCGGAGTAAATCAAGCACTCTGTTTGAATGGGGCCAATTACTTGATATTGGCCTGAGGCTCATTTGATGGCAGATGTATAGTGCTCCAAACGGCGATGTGCTTGATGTTGGCCATGGGCACAGCATGAGGGGGGGACATCCAATCACACCGCGATGGCTGACCTGTCTCTTTATGTCCTGAGCGGATGTGAGGAACGGTCTTTTAATGCTGATTTGGGCGGGTACGCCGGCCTTGAGTCACACAGCCGGACCGGGATTAAAAACCTTATGAGGCCCCATCCTGATGTGGTGTAATCACCCAGTCATTTAATAAGACGTGCAGGCAGTTCTGTGTCATGTGTGAGGTGTTTTTCTTCTTTGCTGTCATGATTTCCCATGTTAGCTTTCAGCCGGCTGGCTGTGCCGCCGACGGGTGTTGTTTGCCGGGTTGTTTGTGTG